CCAGTGTAGTCACATGACTCTGTAGAAGCAGAAGCATCTGTCTGAGAGATGCAGCAGTGGAAGAAGAGGCAGGAGAGATGTGGAGTGAGAAGGATATGTTGCACCCTTGCTGGTCCTGAGACCCACCTGCAAGGACCAGAGGTCAGGTGCTAGGAGCTAAGGGTGGTCTCCAGCCCACGGCCAGCAAGGAAATAGTACCTCATTCCTACAGCTGTGTAAAACTGAATTCTGCCAACAACTTGAATGGGCCTGGAAGTGGATTCTTTCCTCAAGCTTCCAGAAGAGAATTCAATCCTGCTAACCCTTGATTTTTGCTTGTAAAACTGAGCAGACTGAGACTTCTGACCCATAGAACAGTGAGATAACAAATGAGTTGTTTTAAGCTGCTAAATTTGTGGTAATTTGTTACAGCAACAATAACAACAGATAGTTACTTGTTATGTTAAATGATATTTAAACAACATATTTAATGTATTTTACATTGTTTAGATCATTTGTAATCAATAGTAATGTTTGAATTGACAGCATTCTCAAAGACAAATATCTTTAACACATAATTATATAGTTACAGAAATAACAATGTTTGATTTCACTTTACATACACATTTCTCAGTAGAAAACTGTGATAGAATAATAAAAACATCACTAAACATAAATATGTTACATTAAGACAGAATTATGACAGGAAAGTAGAATGGAAATAAGTATATAAGGAGCAAAAAAGGAATAATATAAGAATTTTTACTGTTAAAGAAGAGCTTGTTAGTGGATATTTTATTTTTATTTTTATTTTTGAGACAGAGTCTCACTCTGTCACCCAGGCTGGAGTGCAGAGGTGTGATCTTGGCTCACTGCAAACTTTGCCTCCCAGGTTCAAACAATTGTCCTGCTTCAGCCTCCCGAGTAACTGGGATCACAGGTGTGTGCCACCACACCCAGGTAATTTTTGTATTTTTAGTACAGACAATGGGATGAGGGATTTGCCATGTTGGCCAGACTGCTCTCGAACTCCTGGGCTCAAGTGATTCACCTGCTTTGGCCTCCCAAAGTGCTGGTATTATAGGCGTGAATTACAGATCCCAGCCATTAGTGGATACTTTAGAAATGAATGAAGATTTGTCAAAATCTTACTGAATATATTTAAAAGAGTGAGCTCATAGTTTTATCTTAAAAAGTCATTATTGACAGTATCCTATAAATTATACACTTTACAACTCTTTAAATCTGTTGAAAATATTTTGTTATCAACTTAAAAATATGCAAAGGACCTCACAGTCTGTCAAAATTCCCTCAAGGAGTAAGCACACAAGAAAATCTGAAGACCATTGATTCACAGGACTCCATTTTCTGAGTTTACACACAGTATTACCTTCCACTGGGACAGGCATGAGAAAGCTTATGAAGCTCAGAAGGTTTTCTCATTCATTAACTCAATTATCCATTAAAGACTGATCAAACCTTTACAGAGGACTCACATTACATGTTTAACTTATATGTAGCTATATTCACTCAGCAAATTAAAATGGGGAGCATTAGGGCAGAGAAATAACAAGTTGAACTGACCAGAGAGGTCTGCCTGGTTTCCACTCAGTGTATGCACATGTTGGGTGGGAGTAAGATAGTGTCTCTTGTCTTGGTACCTATCTTCATGCTTAGTTTTATTTTATTTTCCTTTAAATCAAAAATAGAGACAAGGCCTCACTATGTTGCCCCGGCTGGTCTTGAACTCTGGAGCTCAAGCGATCCTCCTGCCTTGGCCTCCTAAAGTGCTGGGATTACAGACATGAGCCACCATGCCTGGCTCATGCTGAGTTTTATACTACTGACCTGTTTAAACCTTCTGCCATTTCTTACATCATGGTCCTAAATATGAGCCAACTAGCTCCTCTGCTGCTCAAGTGAAGAAACAGCACCAGTCTCAGATCTAGCTCTCAGACATAATTCTGGGGGAAAGACACCATGCCCAGGAACTAGGTTATAAGATAAACAACCCAGGAATCCTGTCCCAGAAACCATCAAGTCAGGTTGTTTCAGTAAAAACACAAGAAGATGTATGTCCACCCACTTTTTGATCTCTTGTCCTATAAGATTTAACTGTCTGATGAGTTTTTACTCTAAGGGTTGTGAATTCATTGATATAATTTTTCATTTTCTGCCTCATCTTGAAGCTTGGTGTTCCTTCTGAATGTCTTTCTTGATGGTTGGATCATCTACTTAGTCACCTATCCTAGACACATAAGATCCTAGCCCCTTCGCTTTCTAGGTCCCTTCAGGCCACAGTCATATCCTATCATGTCTGTTTGCCAAAAGTTTGAATTGTGTGCCTTCTTGCTGTTTGCAACTCCAGCCTCAATTAAGGTGTTCACTGTTGGTTGTGTCCTGGTCTTCATGATTGTCTCCTCTGTTTCAATCCTAAAAGCTCAGTACATTTGGACTTAAATGCAAATCTACCAATATCTTCCACTTAAAACTCCTTTTCATAACAAACCCAGTCTTTTATACCTTCCTCTCTTCATCTAATGCCATGCCTCTCCTGGAGCCATATTGCTAAAACATGCCATCCTAGTTTCATGCCTTCATAGACTGTAGCTTCTGTAAGAATGGTCTTTCATCTACCTTCTCCTTGTCCATCTGGACAACTCTCATCCTTCAAATATCATTGTGTACATGGTAGGAATGCTGCTACCAGTTACCACCTACCACCACCACCACTACCATCAGCACTAGCATTTATCAAGATTGAACACATTATGAGCTGAGAAGTATGTTAGTCACTTTCCATGTACAGATGTTGTTTATATTATACAACAACTCAATGCAGAGTTGAGAAATGAACGCCTTCTTTTCTCTAGATTAGGAAGCTAAATCAGAGATATTTAAGTGAGTGGACCAGGATTCAGAGCTGGAGGGATGTGCTTCCAGAACTCACTGATGGAACCACTGCAATTTGGAGCCCTGCTATACAACTGTACTGAAGGAAGGAGGCAGTTACTCAATCCCTCCCCAATGCTTCTTTTGTAAAATGAGGATCTTAATACCTTATTAGCAGGGTTCTTGTGAAAATTAGCAAACACTATTGAAAGGAAACTGCCAAGCCTTTATAATAAGTTTAAGTCCAGTTTCTGGAGATATTTTCTTTAATAACCCATAATATAGTTAATTTGAAGCTGGGAAACTTCACTAAAGGCCAGAAAACAATAAAGAGTAACATCACAGGCAACACAAAGCTAGATAATTTGACCCAAGAACTATAGATTGTTTGGAGTTAACATGTGTTATCTAGGACTACCAGGACTGACTAACTAGTGTGTGATTTTAGCTGGCTTCTGAGGATTGGGCTGTTCATGTGTAGACTTAGCAATGATGTCTATTTGGTAGAACTATTGTGAGAGTTGAATTTATTCCTAAACATACATTTATTGAGCCCAAAGCTAGGCGTTCTCTGATAACTAATACACAGTTTTTGACTTTATCTTGATAACAAAGGCAGTGGGGGTGCTACTTTGATTCCCTATTTACAGATGACAAGAGTAAGGCCCGAAGAGGTTAGGAAACTTGTGTAAGTCACATAGTTGGTGATTTCCATACCCAGGACTGGAACCCAGGCAGGTTGGTTCTAGAAGTGTGTGCTCAGCCCATCTGCTGCACTGCCTAATAGTGTGAGTGGAGACACTACCGTCACGAAGCTTGTAGTTTAGGATGGTGCACATGTAAGAAAACAAAGAAATGCCCTATTAAAAATAAAATAAGTGCTATGAAGGAAAGGAATATTGTGTGTGGCAAAGAAAAATGGGGAAGGGGTGTCTGAGATCCATTAGAGACAGTGGTTAGGAAAGTTTTCCTTGAGGAAAGTGACGTTTAAGATTGGATTAAATGAGATAATGTGTTTAGTAAAGGGAAATCCGGGCACCCTGCTAATAATGTTCCCTTTCCTTTCCTTTCATATGTTGAAATAAAACATTTTTTTGACCCTGCATGAGCTCTTCCTCCTTGTGATCCCCTGAGAGGTAGAACCCCATGGAAGATCACACTTGTTCAAGTGGGAACTATGAAAAGTCATAGAGGACTCCCGGGCTTGAACAACTGGCACGTAGATGCTTACACATTACTTTGTTTGCACATGAGATCTTTTATTAAATAATTGAGAAATCTTAGCTATTTACAGGTATTGTCATTTTGTGCCTTAACAATCTGTTAGACTTCAAAAGCATCAACTTAGTTTTGTTGTTCACAATGGCTTTGAAATGGCGTTAAGACTTCTGGAAATTCATTGAGGGTTAGCAGTGTCATTGTCTATGCTTTTTACTTCTAAATAATAGCTTATTTCTTTGGCAAACCTATCATTTCTAATTTAATGGGTAGTACTCCAGTAATTGAGCTATCTTTTTGAAAGCTACAATGGCAGCTAAAGAAATCCGAACAGAGGACTAAAATAAGATAAATGGGAAAGGGACATATTACCTCTTTTTGCTCATCTGGTTGTTATTGTTAATAATAATAATAAAATGCTAGAAATTGATATAACTGTCTTTTTTAGCATCATTTAAAATATCCTTGGGAATGTCATATAAAATAGCAGTTGTACCAGTGTGATGTAAATTATAGTACAGTTTAAAAAAAAAATTGGCAATGGTGGGTTCTGCCTGACAATTGCTGCCTGATATTTTGAAAGCAAAATAGTCACACATGTATTTAGGCCATTTCATTAAAAAAATGAAATTACACTTTTAGGTAAGCTTTACCCTTCATCTTCCTCCACGGATTGTGATTGCTGATTCATGATGGATGATGGTGTGGCCGCCTGGCGGTAAGATGGCCTGGTGAGCTCTGCCTTCTGGTACCTATACCCTTATGTGATCTTTTCCTCCTGAGTGTGAGCTAGATTTGGTGACTCACTGTAACAAATAGGAAATAGCAGAAATAAGGAGGTGTCTCTTCCAAGATTAGGCTGTAAAAGATTATGAGTTTCATCTTGGGTGCTTTGTCTTGTTCTTTCTTAGATCTCTCCCCTGGGAGAAACCAGCCACCATGTTGTAAGCAGCCCTGTGGCAAGGCCCACATGAGGAAGACCAGGGCTTACCAACATCCTCTGAATGCACGTGGAAACAGATCTCTGTCCCTCCCCTCAAGGCCCAACTGTGCATCCAAATGAGATCACAGCCTTTGCTGACAGCTTGACAGTCTCCTCATGAGCCAGAGAAATCAGCTAGGTGACTCTCAGATTTCAGACTCACAGAAACTGTGAGATAATAAATGCTTATTGCTTTAAATGCTAAATTTTGGGGGTTATTGATTATGCAACAATAGATAACTAAGATAGATGAAGAGTGCAATGGAAATGATAAATTCTAGAATGGGCCCTAGGTCACTGTAAACAGGGAACCACAGTGATATAATCCCAAGACTCCAGTGTGGCACGAGGCTGAGAGCATACTAGGGTTTATCCAACTTCTTGGTATTGAACTTCTTTTCATTTCACTAGACTGAGGCTATATTGGGATTTGCTATGGAGAGAATGTGTCTTCTAAGTTTCATGTGTTGGAAACATTCCCCAAATTTATATATTAATGATATTTGGAGGTAGGACCTTTAAGAGATAATTAGGATTAGATAAGGTCATAAAATTGGGGTCTCCATGATGAGACTCAAGTCTTTATAAAAAGAGGAGGAAGGAACTGAGCTGACATGCTCTTGCCCTCTCGCCATGTGGTACCTTCTGCCATGTTATGACATATGAAGAAGGCCTTCATCAGATGCGGTTCCTTGATCCTGGACTTCCCAGCCTCCAGACTGTAAGAGATAAACTTGTTTTCTTTATAAATTATCCAGTCTGTTGTATTGTTATAGCAACATAAAACAGACTAAGACAGGGGTCTTCATTAAGAGCAACAAATACAGAATTTAGTCAACTAAAGCAAAAGGAAATTTATTGGAAAGGTGTCTGGAATGGGGTAGATGGAGTGGAATGAGGGTATAAAATCAACAGGAGGCTGTGAGCGGGCTTGGAAACCTATTGGAGGCTGCAGAGTTCCAGAAGCTAGGGAAAGGAAGCATGACAACATTGTCCTAGCAGCAGTGGTTCAACACAGCAGCACAATACATGCCTTCTGATGCTATTTTTCATCCTTGTTTCATTCACTCAATATTCAGAGCCCTGGAAAAGAGCCTTCCATTGGCCATGCATAGTTACGTGCCCACGCCTGGTTATATTGGTGTTGTGAAAGGAAGATGGGGGCTCTTTGGCCTTCCTAATGGAGGGCAGGCACCAGGGATGTATCCTTTGTGACAGAGACTATTACTGATATAGTTGGAATGTTTGTCCCCCCGAAATCTCATGTTGAAATGTAATCCCCAACGTTGGTGGTGGGGCCTAGTGGGAGGTGTTTGCGTCATGGGAGTGGATGCCTCATGAATGTCTTAGTGCTGTCCTCATGATAGTGAGTGAGTTCTCTTGTGATCTGGTTGTTTAAAAATGTGTGACGCTTTATCCTTTCTCTCTTGCTCCCGCTGTCACCATGTGACGTGCTGCTCCCACTTCACCTTCCACCATGAGTAAAAGCTCCCTGAGGCCTCATCAGAAGCCAAGAAGATGCCAGTGCCCTGCTTCCTGTATAGCCTGCTGAACCATGAGCCAATTAAACTTCTTTTCTTTATAAATTACCCAGCTTCAGGTATTCCTTTACAGGGAAGCAAAATAGCCTATTACAGTTACCATTTACCCATTGTCTGCTTTCCTCTTTTTTAGTGATAAAAGTTTTAGTGGAGCTACACACCCCATTTTTCCAGCCTCCCTCACACAGAAGAATGTGTATCTTAATTCTAGTCAATGGGACCATATGAGCAAAAATGGTTTATTCAACTTCTAGATTGTACCCTTAGAAGGAAAGGTACTTATGTTTTCATTTTCTCATTTTTTTAATAGTGGAATGTTAAGATTGTGGATGGTCATCCTTGGCCTCGTGGACAAAGGCCATACCTTAAGGATGGCAAAAAAAAAAAAGGCATGGAAGGAGCCTGTGTGCCTGACACTATTGGGCTCCCGCTCAGGACTGGGGGCCACCTTGAATGTTGTAAAAGATGCCTACCTTGTTTAAACGAGCTTTTGTCAAAACAGCCTAGTCTGCATTCTGAGGCTACAACCACTGGGGGAAAGGGAAAGCCCTGAAGGGAACTCAGGGTGCTACCAGGCAGGAGGGGAAAATGCATGCTGGGTAGCCAACAGTGGCCATTACCATCACATTGTTTAGGAAGCACATGCCACTTCCTGAATGAAAGTTTTCTTTAATTTTTGGTGATGGTACTAATAGACGGGCAAATTAGAATTCCTACATTGGGCATATGCCCCAGTAAGGCAGCTTTATGTTTATAAATTCCTCTGCCAACCAACATCCTCTGTACCCAAGTTTTTACATCCTTCTACCTTTCGCCATCCATGGGCACCTTATGCAAAAGAACTCATAGGTCATGGAATTTTGGAGATTTAAGGGACATTAATGAGGAAATAGCTGGAACTGGAGCTCCCAACCCTGTTTGTTTAGCACAACCTCCAGGAAAGTTTGTTGAAAATATGGGCTGTTGTGTTATTGTTCATAAATAGTAATTGCCCTGGTCTAGAAGAGGATTCTATATCCTGCCCCATTGTAGTTTAGCATGGTATGTGATTTGCTTTGGCCAGTGAAACAGAGTGAAAATGATGTATGTCAATTTCAGGCAGCAAGGTCTAGAGCCAGCACTTGGTTTGCCATGTTCTCTGTGATTCTTCTGCCCTTAGATGCAGCAGTATTCCAGATACAGGTTGCATTATGAGCCTGAATTACAGGATGAAAACAACATGGAATAGAACTTAGCCAGCACAAAGTACACATGTGCTGTGAATGAGAAATACCTTTTGTTATTGTAAATCATTGAAATTTTTAGGTTGTCTGTTACTTCACCATAATCTAGCCTAATATAAACACCAAATGAATATACTCCTCTACCATAGTAATTTATTTCCTGTTCTTTCTCCTCCTCCTTCCTCTATTTCAGTGTTTAGCAAACTTTTGCCTGCCTGTTTTTGTATGGCCTGAAAGCTAAACATAGTTTTACATTTTTAGGTGGAAAAAATCAAAAGGAGAATAATAGCTCATGAGTGTACACAAATTAAGTAAAGCGGACAACATTAAATATCTTTCTTTCTTCTTCCCTTCTTCCTTCCTTCTTCCTTCCTTCCTTCCTTCCTTCCTTCCTTCCTTCCTTCCTTTCTTCTTTTTTTTTTTTTTTGAGGATGGATCTCGCTCTGTCACCCAGGCTCGGAGTGTCATGCCACGCGATCTTCTGGCTCACTGCACAACCTCCTGGCCCCCGGGTTCACACCTTCTCCTTGCCTCCAGCTCCCAAGTACCTTGGGACACTACAGGTGCCACACCACCACACCCAGCCTAATATCTCATTTTTTCTTTTATTAGTAGAGGACGGGTTCAACCGTGTTGGCCAGGATGGTCTCAATCTCTGACCTTTGTTTGATCCACCCGCTCAGCCTCCCACAATGTCGGATTACAGCGTGAGCCACCGCGAGCCTGGCCAAATGTCAACAAAGCTTAAAGACAAGTTGTTATTGGAACATACACACACACACACACACACACACACACACAAAGAATGTGGACTCCTGCCCTCACCGTCCACCACACTGGCACCACCTCACTCAGTTGCATCAGAAGTTCATTAGTTGTTCTCTGTGGGTTCTCTTCAGTTCTCCAGAAGATAAAAGAAGCCCTATGTGTTCCTACATCCCTTGTAAAGAGGTCGTCAAGGAAATTCTGCCATTTTCCTTCACAGTCAATGGGGCTGCCCTCAGGCATTGTCATTTGCTGTGTCTTCATGGAGGTCTACATGGCTTGTCATCCTGCTTGCACAGGCCAGTATGAAGCCGTTCGTAGTGAGGATCTTCCAGGTGGGACACCACTCCCAGGCATTACCCAGGCTTGCAAGAACCGTAGGCATTACCCAGACGTGTAAGAACCTGAGGCTTGTTATCAAGTCATTTCCTGATCCCCTAGGAGGTTTTGATGTTTTGGCTGTGCCCACTCAGACTGGTCAGGGTCTCATGCACCTGTGGAAGCTATAACCATCCATTCCCCAGTGTTCTGCATCTAATTACTGCCCCATGGTGGGTTCCCATGCTTTCCTATTTTACTCTTTGTGTACAAAAGTTTCCATGCCCTCCCCATTTGAGGTTTCACGTGGATTCCCTTCACAGCTTAAATAACGAAAGTTGCTAACTTAACATCTCGGAAGGTACAAATTGAAACACCCTCTGCAGGTAGTTAGGCAGTAATATACAGATTAACGGAGAGTGGGAGTGTCTAGTGAACTGCAGAGCACACGCTCAGTCTAAATAGGTAGGTGTTACTTGTATTCTGCTGATCTTGCTGGTAAGAAATGCCCAGTGTTGCCTAATTCTAATGACTTTTCAAGAGTTGTTGAAAATTTGGATTTTATAAAAGAAAGCATGTGAAACAACTTTAATTTAAAATATTGCTAATGACTAATTTATATTTTAAAAATTACACTGTAGATTTTACATTTAGAAACCAGAGTTACACTGTGGGTCACAGTTACAACTTCTGGCTAGAATTTACCAATACAGGCTAGCCCAGCTAACTCTCCTGGTGTGAAGAGGAAGTAATGGCTTTTGCTTTGATTCCAAGGAATATAAAGCAAGAAAAGAAAACAAACAGGTGCATCACCTGAGGTGGGTGGATCACCTGAGGTCAGGAGTTCAAGACCAGCCTGGCCAACATAGTGAAACCCAGTCTTTATTAAAAATACAAAAAATTAGCTGGGCATGGTAATGAGCACCTGTAATCCCAGCTACTTGGGAGGCTGAGGCAGGAGAATTGCTTGAACCCAGGAAGTGGAGGTTGCAGTGAGCTGAGATTGTGCCAGTGCACTCCAGCCTGGGCACCAGAGCAAGACTCTGTCTCAAAAAATAAATAAATAGATAAATAAAATTAAATACGTAAATAAATAAAATAACATGACACCCATTACTTTCTTAATTAATCACTCTCTTCAATAATCATGTTGCAGAAATTAAGTGATAAATTAAATAATATTAGTGCATGAAACATAGCACAGTGTGCCCTCACTTAACACCATGGATAGGTTCTTGGAAGCTGTGACTTTAAGTGAAACAATGAACAACAAGTCCTCCAATAATGTTGTCTCCTTCAGTGTTGTTGTTTCATTGTAACACTGATGAGAAAAAAATACTGGTTTCATTATATGTCACTTTGCTTAAAGTCGCAGTTTCCAAGGATGTATTGAAGACATTGAGGACTTACTATAGTTGGCACATGTTGAGTGATTAAACAATGTATAAGTTTTATCTGATATCCTTGGATCTACTTATAGACCAAGCTTTTGGTTGTGTTCTAAGCTTTCGGTTGTGCTTTCCTATTTCTGCACTCTTACCATATTCTGTTTTTGTGGGTTTATATTTAATAAGACACATCTTAGAAATGGTACAGTATATTGTTGAAGTACATTATTTTAACTCACTCATATATATGCGCATGTTTAGACAGATGAAATGATCATACCGCTTTTTCATTGGAAGGAGTTTATCTTGCACTTTACAAATGGGGAAACAGAGTCCCAGAAACAGTAGATGGCTTGCTTAAAGTTTTCCAGTTAGTTTGTGGTTGTGTCTGATTAGAAATGATATGGTAGGACTTCTTGTCCAGGTCTTTCGTCTACACTGAGCCTCTGCAACTCCCCCGCATCCTATTGGTGCACCTGACATTTTCCCCCTTCAAGTCATTCGTCATGATTA